ATCTAGAAAGAAGCATAAGAAGTCTAAGCATTAAGTTGCGGTTATTACAGTTCGCCAATACTTTAGTTTTCGTGTTGTTGTGTTGTTAGTACAATAAAAACATGAATGTCAGTGGATGAATTTTTGCAAACAAGCAGAAGGAAATAAGATGAACCAGAAAATGAAAATATATATATATATATATATATATATATATATATATATATATATATATATATATATATATATATATATATATATTCATATATATATTCATATATATATTCATATATATATATATATTCATATTATATATTCATATTATATTATATATATATATATATATATATATATATATATATATATATATATATATATATATATATATATATATATATATATATATATATATATATATATATATATATATATATATATATATATATATATATATAATCTTGTGTTGTGGAAAAGGAGAAAAAATTCAAAATATAAAAAAATAGAAAATTAAAACCCAGAAAAATTTAAGTTTGTATACATAGTGGGAATTTGGGAAAATAAGAAACTTACCAAAAATGATATCTTATTTCTAACGATTAATGCGCGGTTATTACAGTTCGGGCATACCTTTGTTTTCCTGTTGTTGTGTTGTTAGTATAGTAAAAACATGAATGTCGCTGGATGGCATGTTTTGCAAACACGCAGAAGGGGATAAGTTAAAACAGAAAAAAAAAAAAAAATTAATGTTGCGTTGCGAAAAAGGGGAAAAGTTCAAAGACCTTCAACTTCGAGTTTTTCAGAAGTCCAAGGTTGCTGTATCAGAACTTGCAGGTAGTGTAGAACAAAATTTGAGATCTTTGCTTGACAAGAATTACAAATTGATCAACAAAAAAAAAAGTTTAAAACATTTTATTGAGTCCACTCAGCCATTGTTAGAATCGCTGAAACCATTAAGAAACCATGAAGAAAAACATATAGTGCAGATGCTAAAAGAATTTTTTAAAGATAACAATGATGCATTAGACATGATAAACGAGGCATTTGTTGATGGTTCTAGCTTATACACAATGTCAATA